GAGAAACTTGTCTAGTGTTAGAACCAAGTGCTAACAAGTGTTCTGTTGATACCGGTCTTAGTCAGATGGAAATTATGACCTTGGACCCCAAAGTACAACACAGTTATATAATCTGAAAGAACTTCTAAAGAAACTTCCTTTTCCCATTATTTAGCCTAGTTTGAAGGCTGATTGTTTTTAAGCAGTTTCCTTGGAGACTAATGCCGGAAATTTGGAAAAGATCCATAAGTTAAATTGATAATTAGACCTCATGAGGTGATGTCAAATTTCTCTCTAGGAAGCATGCTAAAAATCAGCCCATGAATGCTAATAAAGAACCACCAAACTTTCAGTCCACATATTGCCTGCTTCAATGGTTCAATTGTAACGCTCTGATACAAAGTCACTACCAAATACCTTGAAACAATTCCTGAACTTCTTGTACATTTGGCTCGGGGTTTCATGCTAAAATGTCTTTTCTTTTTTCTGTAAGAGGTGCCAAATTAATGATGAATAATACAAAGGTAATGCATAGAAACCATAACGTGAAGCACAAAAGTTTGTATCTCATAAGCTGTTTATGCTCTCTAAAGAAACCAGCTGTGGATGTTGTTATCGACGCAAACATCCAATCTTTTTTTTGTAATTCTGAGATGCTCTGGGCCTCAATAACCAACCATGTTAGAGCAAGTAGCACAAGCTGATTATGTATGCAACAAAATACAATTTAAATCAGACAAATGCAAAACCATATTAAAGTGCTGGCCTGGACAACAGTGATTCTGAAAAGGATTTAGGGGGTATAATGCATAACCAAACAAACACTTTGACTAAATACAACCTTTCTGTGGATAAACAGGGTCATGACAATTAAAGAGTACACAGGTGACTGTCACAGTGAGACAAATACTAGAATATGATTGTGTTATTTGCATTTGGAAAAGAATGGTGGAAAACTGGAAAGACGGTAAAGAGTGTAGAAAAAGTCCTCAAATCATGCCTTGGCCTTCCGAATTTTCTCCTTGCACACCTATATTTTCCCCTAGTGCTATGACCAAATTTTCACATTTTGTAGGCTTTCCTTTTGAAATTTCCCATTCTTCTATTGTATTGGGATAGCTTACTCCTATACCCTTAAAAGGGCCTCTTTGAAATACAGCTAGCTCTCCCAGATTCTTTTACCCCTCAGACTGCATATCTCAGAGGATTTTTCTCATCAGTTCTCAGAGTTTGCTAAAGTCTGCTTTTCTGAAAGTCCATTGTCTTTGTTCTGCTGTTCTCCTTCCTTCCTTCCCTTAGGAACTTGAACTCTATCATTTTGTGGTCACTGTCACCCAGGTTGCCTTCCATCTTCAAATTGTCAGCCAGTTCCTCCCTGAACATGAGCAGCAAGTCCAGAAAAAGCTTTCCCCCCTAGTTAGCCTGTCTACCATCTGTATCAAAAGCTATCCCCAACAGACTCCAAAAATCTGTTGAATCACTTGTGCACTGATATGTTTCCCTCCCAGCAGATGTCCTGGTAATTAAAGTGCCCCGTGAGCACACCAAGTCCTGCAATTTGGAATTTTCCATCAATTGAAAGCCTCATCTACTTTCTCCTGATTTGGTGGCCTGTAGCAGATGCCTGTCATGACATCCCCTTTCTGCTCTCCCTTTTGACCTTTACCCAGAGTCTTTTCCACCAGGCCTCCTTCCACTTCGTACTGCATTCCAGGACACGTGTACATCACCTTTATATAAAGAGCAACACCTCTTCCTTTTTATCCATGTATATCTGTCCTGAACAATCTATACCGATCCATGACAGAACTCCACTCATATGAATTATCCCAGCACATCTCTATAACCCCAATAACCTCATAATTCTGTGACTGCAATAGGACAGAGGTTCTCAACCTTGTTAGAGTCAAGTTCCCTCTCAGAAAATGCCAGCTCTTAGTTTCCAGTCATTGTTTGACTGTGGGAAAATAACAAAGCAATTTTTCTGTTGCAAAGAACTCTGAAAGACTATAGCAGGCCAGAATGTTTTTAACGCTATGGATTCTTGTTTGAAATCTCTGGGTTAATCTTGTGAATTACGTTTGTGCACGTAACAGTGCTAACATTGCATAGGGTCCAGTGGCAACCTTGAAAGCCATTCAAGGAATCCCAGGGTGCTGGGGCACATTGGTTGAGAGTCACTGTACCAGGACCTCCAATTCTTCCTGTTTATTCCCCATGCTTCTCATGTCAGGATATAAACACTTCAAGTATCTAACCAATTGTCCTATTTTCTTCCTGAGAACATTGCTAAGGCATCTGCTCTTGCTTCCCCTTACTAAATTTTCATCCAGCTCTTTATTTATTTCTGGGCTTTTGTCTTCATCAACCAGGTGAATCTAGTCCCTTTTGGCCGTAGAGTCTTTGAAGTATGTAAAATAATTATTTCCAGTTTTAAATTTGTCACTTTGCACTTCATTGATTGTCCTTTCCCCCCAGAATTATGAGAAAGAAAATAGGATTTTCTCTGTGACCTTCACTACACTGTTCATTCTTGTATGCAACTGTAATATGTAGTATTAAAACTTAAAACCTACATCTGGTGCAGAATGTAGCAGACTACCTCCTAAGTGGTACACATCCAGCCGATTCCCCACAACACAATACTGGGTTTATTTCTAGATCACAGTCCTTTCCTCCCCAACTCTAAGCTGGGTTGGGACCCAACTGTTGTAACTCAGGAAAGAGACCTTGGAGTCATGGTAGATAGTTCTCTAAAAACATCAACTTCATGCGCAGCAGTGACCAAAAAAGCTAATAAAATGTTGGCCATAAGAAGGGAAATTAAAACCGGACAGAAAACATCATGCCACAATGCATGGTGCACCCACATTTTGAACACTGTGTGCAGCTCTGGTCTCTCTATCTCAAACATGATGTAGTGGAATCAGAAAACTTACAGGGAATGACAACAAGGGGAAGTCTTTCCATACCAGGAAAGACTAGAAATGTTAGAACTCTTCAGTTTGGAAAAAGAAAATGGGGTGGTTGGGGGGGAATGTGACAGAGGCCTATAAAATCATGAAGGGTGTGGACAAAGTGAATAAGGAACTGTTATTCACCAAGTACCAAACTACGAAAATTAGGGGACACCCACTGAAATTAGCAGGAGGCAGGTTTAAAACTAACAAGTACTTTTTGCTATAACGTGTAATTAACTTGTGGACGTGAGGGAAGTGTAAATCACTTTTGGACTTCACAAAGAAAGTCTGTGCTACCTGTTCAGCCTTTTATCCGTTTCTGTAATGTTTGTAATTGGCACACACTCAAAGTATTCCAGTTTAGGTTGGCATGCAGATTTCATACAGAAACTGGAAGGATAGGGTACTTAATAAGAAAATTGGCTGAATTAGCTGTTTGTTTGTTCCTTCCAACATAGATTTACCACTACTTACTAAAAATCACTTGTTTTTATTTCTAAACTGTTTTGACCTAACCTCTTACCTTGAACTGTAAATTGTTCTTTGATTTTTGCAAAGAATGCTATTAGCTTACCTGTTATTTGAATGAGCCTTCTTTGCAAAGAATGCACTTGGACCTTTCCAGCAGTCACTATACCGGGACGGTAGTAGTAGTAGTGGGCTCAAGGCTAGCTTTTTCTCTGGGCCTTTTAGGAAATAATGGTTTGAAGGAGCAGTACATAAGATGGAGAACAGGGGCCAAATATAGATCAGTATAAAAACAAACAGTTGTCAGCAGCCTGTGAGGTTCTAGGTAAGCAGCACTGGGAATTGCTGCTTAAGAGAAAGGAAGAGGAGAATGTCTGAGCTGCTCCACCCAAAGTCTCCTTACCTCAGACAGATGGACAAGTGGAATAAGTCTGCAGGGAACAGGGGGCTAAGAAGGCAGGGAGAACTTTTCTGCTTGACAGCAGGGACCCTGCATCACACTTACAGGCTCAGCAATGCTACACTCGCTAGCACTATGACCAAAAGAGAGTTGGGGGTCATGATTGACCACAGGATTAGCATGAGTCACCCATGTGATACCGCAGCTGGCAAAGCAAAAAAAACTCTGGCTTGCATCTGCCAGTGCATCTTGAGCAAGACTCGGGATGTTGTCCTACCGCTGTACTTGGCCTCGGTGAGGCCTCAGCTGGAGTGCAGCATCCAATTTTGGGCTCCACAATTTAGGAAGGATGTGGAGAAGCTTGAAAGAGTCCAGAGGAGAGTCATGTGCATGATCAAAGGGCAAGAGAACAGACCTTATGAAGAGAGGCTGCGAACCATGGGACTCTTCAGCCTGGAGAAGCACAGGCTCAGGGGTGACTTGGTAGCAGCCTATAAGTACACAAAGCATGTGCATCAGGAGCACCCCAGGGGATGACAAGGTCCAAAGGTTACAAACTCTCGCAAGACCATTTTAGGTTGGACATAAGGAAAAACTTTTTTACTGTCCAAGCCCCCAGGGCCTGGAACAGACTCCTCCCAGAGGTGGTGCAAGCACCTACTCTGGACACTTTCATTTGGATTCTTATCTTGCTGAGATCCTTTGACCCCATCTTAATTCCTGCCCCTTAGGCAGGGGGCTGGACCCGATAATCTTACGAGGCCTCTTCCAGCCCTAATATCTGTGAAACCAGCTGAACAGATTTTTCCCAGGCAGGAGTACTGGGCAGATTTGTATAACCATATGTGGAAATCTGTGCCACTGCTGTTGCCAGCTGAGGCAGGTTTATGTAAACTGCAGGTATGTTTCCAAATGGCAGTGTAGACGTACAGGTAAAAACACTGAGGGGGTATTGCTTAGACAAGCTCTGAGCAGGGTTGTGGTATGAGCATCAATAGTTAGTCTATGTATGTATTTGGGCCACTGCTTCGACAGGCTTTAAATTAGCGGTACTAAAGTTTAAGAATAGGTACAGGATTGGGGAAGTGTGCATCACAGATATGATGGGTGCATAATTTGCTGTCCTAAAAGAAACTAACTCCCTAATGCTCACCGTATAGGAATGGATTCATGAAGAAGAAAAAAACATAGTCGTTGGTATTCATTTATTGTTGTGATGCATCTTCCAAATTGTACTTTACTGCATCCAAAAGACAGAATCCTCTCAAACCCTGTGATCAGGTTGTTAGCCAAAGCATGAGATTTAGTTAGTGTCACCTTGATAGGAAATTACTAGAGATTTTACCATAATATTGAGCTACTCGAATGCTGGCCCTCCATTTCCAAAAGCTGGTGTTATCATTGAGTGACCCATTGCTCTTTTACCTGGGTTAGTGTTAAAACTACTAACTTCAGTAATTTCAGATACTTGACAAAAGCCCATTCTCTTCTCTGTTAAATGATCCTAGTTTGTTTGGTTATTTATTTTGTTTTTATAAATCTCTTACTGTGTGAAACACTTATGCCTTTACTCATTTTTGGAGCTTGTTTGGGTCTTTTCAGTTGCAGGTAACTACTTGGAGAAAAGCAAAACAGAACACTGATCAAAGCTTTCAAGTTTAGACAGACAAAGCAGTGGCTTTCAAACTGTGGGACATGAAGGAACGTTGGCAGGGGGGCACGGGCAAGAAGTTTGCAAGAAGACAGCGCCGCTGCAGCCTCGTGGGGGGATATGGAGGCATGGAGCCCTGGGCAGGCTCTGGCAGCTGGTGACTGTGCCTCCAGCAGCCCAGCATAGTGGGCACAGAGCATCGGGGTGCAGGGGGGGCCACAGTGGGTGGAGCCCGCCAAGCTGAGCCACAGCGGCTGCTAGGATGAGGGGCACCCTGTGCCTGGCTGTGCTGCTTCTCTGGGGTGAGGCAGGCAGTGTGGGGGCACGAACAAAATTGTAACTGAAAAGGGGGCTCAGCTCAAGAAGTTTGAAAAAGGCTGATCTAAAGATAGGCATTTTATATCCATATTCAGATACCCAAAACGTGTTTTGATTTTCAAAGATGCCAAATGCCTACAGTTTAGCTCCTTTGACAGATCTGGCTACTTATCTAGGTGCCTCGCTTTGGGCACTGAAATGTTAACATTCCGATCAGTATTCTCATTAAGGGTGATTATTTTTAGTGAATTGTAATTAGGTATCTTCTATTCCTTTGTCTGTTGCATACTACATGCATCTCTGTGTTCTTATTTTTTTGTTTTAAATGATGCATTTGGGAAACATCTTTCTTAAAACTTCTCCATCAAAGAAAACTTGCAAGAATTGAGAAAAAGACGTTTTTCATTTAGGCAAATGTAACTTATATTTGTGGCTCGCTGCAACTAAATCCATTCAAAGGTCTCTACAACTTACAGTGCCTTCCACCAATCCAAACAGTTCATTCAACACATGCCCTCAACTTCCTACTCAGTTTTCCTCCCAAACATTGAGTACGTAAAATAACAATGATCTCAAGAAGAACTCCTAAAACTCTTACTGTTTGCTTTTCCTCTCCGAAAGGCAGCAACATTCAATTATGGTTTATTATTCACAACACAGTAGTATCTAACAACTTATTAATGTGCGGTGGCCCTGTTGAACAAACGTGTCACAAGAAATAGTTCCTGCCCCAGAAGCTTGCAGTCTCAGAGTTTACGATCAATATTCCTTAACAAGCTTTTCAGCTGAAAGACTGCTTTTCTCCCTCTAGTAATTTTTCTTCGTTGTTCATGCAGGACCTTATCAGAAAATCCAAAAAAAAAAAGAAGCAAATGTTCACCTTTCTCTTGCCAAGCAGCAAAAGATGAGAGATTCTGAACAAGGAGAGGATGTCTACTGGGTGACTAGGCAACAGTGTTGTAACTGGTCTTCCTTAACATCTTCAGTCACATTTGGGGCAAACTTTTTTATATTATATTTATGCATTCTCAATCTGGATGTGTAGGAGACCTAGCAAGGACAGAAAAACAACAGAAAAGGACCCAGAGAGAACAGAAATATGGGAACGCAATAAAATAAGAAAAATGCAAGCTAGCACATTTTGTAAAGAATAAACTAATACTAACTAGGAAGAAGAAAACAATGCAAGAAAGAGAACAAGGAACAGTAAATTAAACACAAGTTTCTTAGCTTGGAGTGCACTCATGTCAGTTTGGTGGTTTGTCCATCTTCTGTTCAGGGCTCTGGTGAGTATTCCAGGTGTGTCAACAGCTGAGAAATACAGAAAAAAAGAGCATGTGCCAAGAAGAGCAGAAGAGCTGCTAATATGTATCAGTTTAGGAACTATAGCTAAGGGCCAAGTCAGTAAGGGGGGTAAGAACTAAAGTAAATGGCTAGAGGCTTAAACAAGCTAAGGGAGAAGCATCATCTTAACTGTGTTTGCATTTCTGCATCTTCTCTCTCATCCCAGGGGTGGGACAGGGAACTTTCCATAGTCAGACGGATGAAGCACCAAGTCTATTTTTGGATACTATATAATAAACAGACATTAATACATTACCAATAAAAAGTTTTAATTGCATCCTCTAGGTGTGCATGTCTTGCATTACAGATGATATCCCTGTAACATTCATTTATCCATAGCTTATCTCAGCCCATTTTTGCCTTCTCCACTCACTGAGACGCATCTAAAATGCAGAGGATAAAATGTTCTGTGGAGATTTTTCTATTTCTCTGGTAAAAGGACCAACAGAATGTTGTGTATTGAGCAGCTGAAAAAATAATAAGAAATAAGCTGAAAAGAATGGGAAGACATAAAAATGGCAAAAGCTGTAATATTTAGTAATGAGAAGTTAGGGGGAAAAGCTTTAATCTGCACATCACAAAAAGTGAGAATGACATTGACAGAATACACTGGAGGAGGGTGCAGCAAATGAAACGGTAGAAAATTCTTTGCCTGAGACTTGTAAATCAGACTGAATACAGTACTGGAGAAAAAAAGGTATTGTGCATGGGGGGGATGAAGTGCATGATTAAAGGTTTCCAGGTCAAGTGCATGACTTACACAAAAATTGGGAAAGCAAGATTAGAAACTTTAATATAGATTTTTGACTAGCAGTGATTCTTAGTGCTTAGAGAGTGTTTAAATGGAGATTAATTTCCTTTGAATAAAACATACAGTACTGGAAGAGTTAAGGCAAATGCAGTGCAGGTTACTGCAGTACTGTAGAATGAATTTCTCTTGATTTGGGTCTGCAGTCTGTGCTCAGTATCAGACAATCCTAGAATCACATCTTCTACCCCAAAAGCCTGGCCCTTCCCTTCTGCTGAAGAGGCAGGCTGCACTCTTTCCACAGGTTGAGAACGCACTGCAAGTTTAACAGTTTGTACTTCCGACACCATTTGTCCTAAATTTTCTTCGAGGCAGCTAAGCTGCTGCTGTAAGCTTCCCAGGCATGAACTGACTTGTTTAGAGTAGTTTAGCTGTTCTTTTAAAGAAGCTAAGAGAGAATTTATTTGTAATGATGCAGTAGTGACTTCTTTAACTTCCAAAGCACTCTCTTCAGTTCCCTCTGATGTCCCCACTCCAGTCTGCAACATGTTTCTCAGGTCTACGATGAGGTCACTGAGGTCCTTTTGCTGTAAATAGTGGCTGGAGGCCTGTTCTTTGATGGCTTCCTGTAGGCTTATTGGCCCCTTTTGGGCTTCAAGGACTAAAGTTTTTAATTCTTGCAGCCTTACCCTGTTTATATAGGTGGAACCAAGGACACCAATAACGGCCCCTAATACAGAACCAATAATGGACCAGTTCTTTGTTCGTTCTGTTCTCGTTCGCTCTTTTTCATGGCTTTCTCTCACAGCTGCAGAGAAGAGAGAGAATTTTTCCCGCTCAGATTCTTCAGCGCTTAAATAGGCAGCTCGATACCTCTTCTCTTCCTGCAAAAAAACCCAGTGAATTTAAGAGGTGATGTGTAATTATAAGTGCGCATTGAAGGCTATACCTACAAATTAAACACTTGGCTAAGACTATAATTTCCCCCCCCTCCGTGTACAAAATTATAGTGGAATTTAATACCCCTCAGCTGTACTGCTGCATTAGTTCTGTCTTAGAAACCTCTCCTAGAGTCAGGTTTTTCCTCAGTTCATTTGGGTTAAAGCAATCCAAAAATGTCACACTTCATTCAAAATTAAGAACCGGAAGCTCTGACCAAGTTTCAAACTCTAAACTCCACAAGCCTCATGCATGCAGAAGGCCTCTCTTTCCTGACACATTCCATTCTGTTTGTAGGACAAGGATGTTCCAGCATCCCTTTTCTTGAAACATAACCTTTGATTGCCTCCATCTCTTCAGAAACTGCTTCATCACCCTCTTTCATTTCCCTTCTAAATTTATTAAATAGCAACACAGAAAACAGGACTGCAAGGGACCTCTTAGGTCACCGACTCTAGTTCCCATGTTACATAATCCCTTTCATAAACTGATCAAGACCCATCTTGAAACTAGTAGCTTCCTGACTTCACTACTCCTATAGTAAACACACTATTTACAGCTGTTGTCTTCCTCTCCTCCAACCCCATCACGGTGTGGAAGCTGTTCTCATGGAACTCTCACCACCTATTCCTTGATGAAGCTCAGAGCCTGTATTTCTTTGTCTTCCTCCATGATAGTTCCTGTTTTTGTCACTGCTGATCACACCCTTCTTCCTGAAAATCTTACTCTTTCTTGGCTTTCATGAGTCTCTTCCCAGTTTTTCTGCATCAGCATCATCTGATCACATCAAAACACAGCTGACAATGTCTTGCCACTACAGGGACAGGAAGCAGTTGTCAAAGCATGGCCAAGAGATCTGCAGAAGAGGACCATGTTC